AGGTCTCGAAATCAAAGACACCAGCTGAAATCTGTCAGTAATTAGAAAGCAGTCCTGCCCCTCTCTCAGTGCAGATTAATATCAGCTGCTTCAGTCCCAACTGATGGCTTATAATTACCAAGGTGCCACATGAGGAACTGCTGGGTAAAACCAAAGAGCTCTCAAGACCTTCACAGCCTTATTGTTGCAAAACATAGTGATGGGTGATTGGGTACAGAAGGATTTCTAAACTTCCAGTGAGCACTGTTGGGGCCACAATCCGGAAGTAGAAAGAACATCATTTCACCAGAAACTGGCCACAACCAGCTGCTGCTCGTGTGGGCTGTTTTTCAGCATGAGTTGAAAAACTTCATATAACTGAAGGACGAATGTACCAAGACATTCTTTGTAAAAACCTGCTGCCATCTACCAGGACAATGAAGATGAAACGAGGGAGGACATTTCAGCAAGACAATGATCCCAAACACACAGCCAAGGAAACTCTCAGTCGGTTTCAGAGAATAAAGCTGCTAGAATGGCCCAGCCTGGGCCTGGTCTCTCTCTCTCTCTCTCTCTCTCTCTCTCTCTCTCTCTCTCTCTCTCTCTCTCTCTCTCTCTGTGTTTCACTCACTTCCGTCAGCTGGGCTCGCCACCCTGCACTCTCCCCTTGGACCTTCCACGGCATCCTCCCAGCTCCTCCTCGTTTAGTTTCTCGCACCTCCTTGCTAAACCTGTACTTTAACGCCCTGCACCCGGCCCCGTCTCCACTCCTAAATGCCTCCTCCTTTTCCAACCTTAGCTGTCTGAGTTTAGCTGTGAAACAGGGTTTGTCATTGTTATAAGTCACCCTGGTCCGTGTTGGAATGCAGCTGTCCTCACAGAAGCTGATGTAGGACGTCACAGCCTCTGTAAACTCATCCAGATTGTTGGTAGCAGTCTTGGAAACGTCCCAGTCAGTGCAGTCCAAACATGCTTGGAGGTCCTCAACAGCTTCAATAGTCCACTTCTTTGATGTCCTCACTACAGGTTTACAGCGCTTTAGTTTTTGCCTGTAAGGAGAAATCAGATGGACCAGTGACCCAGTGGAGCGCGTGTGACGGCGTGATAGGCCCTGCTAACTGTGGTGTAGCAGTGATCCAAAGTGTTCCCTCTCTGGTTGGACACTTTATAAACTGTCTGTATTTGGGGAGTTCTTGGCTGAGATTTCCCCTGTTAAAGTCACCGAGAACAATAACAAGGGAGTCCGGGTTTGTCTGCTCCACACACAGTATCCGGTCAGCCAGCACGCTCTGTGCATCCTGAACGTTGGCATGCGACGAGATGTAAACACCGACCGGAGTGAATGAAGCGAACTCACGGGGGGAGCAACACGGTTTACAGTTAATGGTAAGAAATTCCAGATTAGGGGAACAGTGCTGCTGAATCACTGTCATGTCGCTACACCGGCCATTGCTAATATAAAAACAGACACCTCCACCTTTTGTTTTGCCGGAGAGTTCTGTGTCGCGGTCGCTCTGTGCAGATGGAAGCCAGCCAGCTGCAGCACGGAGTCTGATCAGCTCAGACAGCCAGGTCTCTGTGAAGCACAGAACAGAAGATGAATAAAAGTCTCTGTTTTTCCCCTCCAGAAGCTGAAGTTCGTCCAGTTTGTTGCACAGTGAGCGCACGTTGGAGAGAAATATTGCCGGTAGTGGTGTGCGAATCACAGCCGAAAACTGAATTAACACACAAAACAAAACAATACAAAGTGCACCTAACACCGAGGCAGCTATACTCAGCGCCATCTTGGCCATCTCGTGGCACTTTCGGATAATTTATCACCGTTGATGAACCACACAAAGAATATTTATGGTTTATGGAGAGAGAGAGAGAGAGAGAGAGAGAAACAACAATCAACAAAAGCCTCAGTTTAGCTGGAAATTTACAGTGTAAGTTGAATGAATAGAGACTGCAGCTCTGCAGCTTCCCAAGATTAAGGTTACCCCCCCCCCCCCCCCCCCCCCACACTCGCAATCGCTGTGCACAAAAACGCATGATTAGTCGACCATAGGCGAGACTTTCTGATTCGACTATGTAAATCCTTAGTCGGGGACAGCCCTAAAGTACTGTAAGCGGTACCAGCGTTTAAATACCAGAACAAACAAATGAATGAAGAACAATACAACGGCCACCAAAACAGACAGACACAGGCCCGAGAACATAAAGGACATGATAAGAGACACACAAGGACAGTCCTCATTCAAAGCTTGAACCAGCGCTGACCACTCGGTGGAGTAATGTGAGCAGGAAGTTGAGCACCTACAACCTGACAGTCTATTAATTAGGCAGCAAAGGGGCAAACTGCTACATGGGGCATGAAGGGGAGGGGGGTCGAGGCTCGTCAGAGATCAGCACATGCACGTTAAAGTATTTGTCCTCTCTTTCAGACACCTAAGAAGTTATCCAGATCTCCGCCTGCGATCACTGCTGTGAGAAAAAGACTTGCACTGTACTCAAGTGGAGTTTGGACTTCTACCAGGCTTTACAGGTCAGCCAGTCAGAGTAGGCTACCATCTCATCCACAAATCCATCTGAAACGTTCTTTATGAAATACACTGTTTGTTGTGATGTCCTCAGTGTTCTGGAGCCTACTGTCAGTTGGTAATATGACTAAAGGTTTTTAATTAGTTGGTAATAATTTGCATAAATAATTATTACTTCAGTTTCATTCATTTAATAGTATTTGTTATCCTTTTTTTTCATTATTAAACAGGCATCTGTAAAGGCTTTTTAATCGCCCATCTGGGCCAAATGTTTTGGTAATGCTTGGAAATTTGAAATGTGACGACTTTTGGTTTTAACACTTAAAGACGTGATGTAAAGTCTGACAATAAAGTCTGTCACACAGCAGTTTGTGGCCTAACCACAGGAGCCTTCCACTGAAGACTGACAGGAAGTCAGCCTGTGATGAAATCAGCTCAATAAAATGTGTGAAATGTATTAACAAGTGATGATGATGATGTAGGATGATAAAAAATGTATAAAGGACGCTAAATTACCAACAGTTTTTAATATGTACTTTACCTGACAGTATAAAGTCTATTATTTGTATTAATTAATAATTCTCTGGTTTAAGTACATTTATGTGATTGAACTTGCTTTGATGTCAAAGTAACGGTTTTGATCCTGGTATGACAAGTTTGATGATATTAAAACAGTATGAAAAAGATTTTTACATTAAAGAGGTCATATTTTGGTCATTTTCAGGTTCATGAATTTATTTAGGGGTTGTACCAGAATATGTTTATATGTTTTTTATTAAAAACATTTCTGTCATGCGACACATGCTGCAGCTCCTCTTTGTCACCCTGTGTGTTGAAGCGATGGAGTAATGCATCTCACTTCTAAAAGACCTTTGTTTGGAGGCCATGTGCAGTTCTTAGGTCAGGACTAGCCAATCAGAAGCAGAGTAGGGCAGGTCCTGGTTTTGGTTTAGCTGAATATGTTCTTCTGACCATTGTTTTTTATGCACATTTTGAAGTATCACATTAGAAAATGTTGATGGAAAAGGCAAAATTCAAAAACCTCACGAGGTGTCTTTTTCCTTTCTTGAAAAAGAGTAAATGTGCTAAATGGCAGATGGAAATACTTTTGCCAAAAAATTCTTACGAATCAAACTTGTAACTCAAGTCTGATCAGCTGTTTCTGCTGTCGGCGTCTTCCCAGATATTCCCATAACGTGCGGAGACATGGCTGGAAGCAACTTGCCCGCTTGAAACCCATTCCTGAAAATCTCTCTCCATGTTTCTCAGATCCCTGGTCCTCAAGTCCATGTGACTGTTCTCATCTCAGGGCGTCATATACAGACGGTTTGAGAAAGAGTGACAAAACATAGTTATTTGACGCACCGGGTGCGTCTCCATGAGATGCTCTGGGGCGTCCCGTACACACCATACCTACGTTCGTGATAAAGGTGTTGACAGCCCCCCAAAGCCCCTACCCTTCCCACAACCATCAGAAATGTTAGGACCTAAACCTAAGTCACTGAATGTGTGCATGTCGACACATTCATCCTTGATCCTTGTGGTCTTGTAGCTAACCCTACCTGTAGGGTTAGCCTCCCTTGTGTTGCTGCAACGTAGGAAACGGGGGCGTTTCATACGCTGAAGGGTACCTTTAGCATAAAATTGTTACGCTTTGTCACACTGTCTGAACTCGTCAGTTATGATGCATGGAGATGAGAATGTGTTGGACTGGTTTTGTTTCTGATTTGAACCCACACGTCTTGTTTATTACAGCCATGTGTAACGTCAACTGCTGACATAACTACACTCACTGTAGCCTGGTTCATTCGCTCCAAACCAGCTGAAGGAAACGCACAGATTTCACAGTTTCTTTGTTGCAACATTTCAAAAGTTTGCTACAAATTCGCATGACAATTAGATGGAAACATGACTACTGTGTGCTGCAGGTCAGTGTGTTTTTCCACCGCTGTTTCTGAGGGCGTGTCTGACTAGCCACTAGACAAACATTATGACATTGTGTGACCTCACAGGGATCAAAGGGAAGTGGCAGAGTTTTCTGTGGGAGGTGGGAACTCCCTTTGGGCTGGACTTTGGGCTTTTTCACTCTGCAAACCTGTTACATGCACAGAAAGATATATAACTCAATAAAGAAGAGGGGAAAAGCCAAAAAGGAGAATACCACCTCTTTAATTAATTGATTCAATTTGATATGACAGGTGTGTTTGAGATCTATATTGTCTGTTTTGTATTTTACTCTGCTTAACCTGCTCAACTACATGATTTTATCATTTTATTATATATTTTATTTATCATTGAACTTTTATAACTTTGAGAGTTGAGGAGAATGCATTTACAGAAACAGGCGGGCAGATATCTTCTGTGTTCATGTGTACCATGTTTGGTGTGATAACAGACCACTTACAGGTGACTGATCATGGCTCATCTGCATTAGAGATCAACCAATCACAGCAAACATACATCATGAGCTGTTCTGTCACATCCTGTCTGTGTCTGTATAGAAGTTGCAGCTCTTGGTATTTTGAAAAAGCAGAACTCCGGTCGACGCTGTTTTGCTCTGTTCTTTTCTTTTTTGCTGATTGTACTTTAATAAAAGACACTTTGAGTAAAGAATCTCAAAGATTATTTTTCCTCTCCTCCTCCTCCTGCTGCAAGGTAAGGTTCTTCCACACTGCCACACACTGAGCCGAGGGCCACACTGGTCTTATTCTCTAGATCTGGAGTTTAGGAACTCGTTCCAGGTTGTGTTTGAATACTCTACTCCCTGATGAGAAACGGGGGAGGAGCGGGGGACGGCGAGGAAAGTCTGGAGTTAGACTTCTGGTACTGAGGTAGGCCAGAACCTGATATGGAAACTAGCTTGTTATCAGGGGCCTCTCTCTGTCCTGCGCCGGGGTCTTTGGGTGGCGACCCGAGACAGCCGGGTTTCTAGGGGTTAACACGAGGCTACGTGGCGCCCGACAGCGTGGCTGGAGAAAAAACAGTAGTTGGTTCTCCTGTCTGTACACAGGCAGGGTGCTAAATGAACTGTTTTGTCCACCAGCCAGTAAACGCTCAAAGTCTACCACTCAGTAGATTACCATTGTTTTTAGCTGCTGATGAAGTAAATCTAGCAGACATTTGCATATTTTACCAGTAACTGGCTGGTAGATGGTGCCATGTTTGTTTTATTGAGTTAAACTAGAAGAAGCTAAAGTGTCTCTGAGATATTAGAGGTGTCTTGAAACTGAGTAACAAAGCAGCAAAAGCAGGCTGCTGCCCTGTGCAGGGGGGACTGAGCCTTGTCCTGGAGTAAAGCTTAAGAAAAGAAGAGGATGCTGCCTTCACTCTCCGGGGGTGAGCGCTTCACTATAAAGGTTCTTTGTTTTAAAGAGAGGGTGTTGTGTATCCACAAAAATGAAATAGTTTAAAAAACAAAATAAAACTTTATTTTGTATCTAATGTTTAAATATATCACTTTGACAGAAAATGTCAGAATCATCTCATAAGATAATATTATGTAAAATAAAATGGCTCAATACATTGATAGTCATCTTATAAACTCATGTTGCTAAAACGTATTACTGAATCACTTTAACTCTTACTCTTTACTCTCTCAGTAAGTATATCTAAACAGTCGGTTTATATCAAAGTTTATTCCTTGAGTGTATTTGCTTATATGCGTTGTTAAATCAATCAAATATTGTGTTTTTGGTGATCAGGATTTTTAAATGTTCTGGAAATACTTAATGTACTGTTATTGCAAAATATTTAGAATGATAGATGACAACTTTTGATTTTAACACTTAGAGATGTGATGTAAAGTCTGACACAGCGGTTTTTGACCTTCCTCTGCAGACAGGAAGTCTGCCTGCCTCCTGCCATCAGAGATAGAGTTTGTTGGTTATGATGAAATCAGCTCTTTAAAATGTGTGAAATGTGATGAATGATGTTTTAAGAATGTAATAAGGATGATAAATAATTGATAAATGACTGAGGATGCTAAATTATCAACCATTTTTAATAACATGTACTTTACCTGACAGAGTATCAGTATATAGAAAGTTATCACTGGTATCAACTGGTTTATAATTAAGTAATTTGATGTAATTAACCTGCTTTAATGTTAAAGAAATAGTTTGATCCTAGTATGACAAAGTTTGATGTTGTGATATAATGAAAAAGTATTTTACCTTAATTAATTAGGGCCGACAACCTGTCCCAAAAAACTCTTTTCCATTGTTGGCGGTGTAGATCAGCAGCAACAAAGCACCCTGGAGCAGGATGGGGACTGCAGACCTTCTGAGTAAGAATCATGGTTGGCGTAAGAATGGAAGGAGAATTCACATCCATTGAGATGGTTGTCAGAGGTCTGGCGTTGATTATGGCATATACCTCTGCCATGAGAGTAAACAGAACCTCATGGGTAAGATGAGAGCGTTTAATCTGGGACAACATGGAATCCAGAATCACCCTGGAGCCCCGATCATCCTCTCCCACACGCCACCCATGTGAGAAGAATGGGGCGGATTGAAGATCCACGGACACATCAAGCATTTATGAAGCTTGATGTGTCCTTGGGCCTCGATGAGCTCTATAAGAACTGCACGAATGCTGAGGCAGGTGAACATTACTGCCCACCTCTTGCTGTTGGCAGCGCCTCCACGGGTGCGCAGAGCAGAGACACTCCAAGGGCCAAATACATCAACGCCCACGTTGGTGAAACGCGGCTCCGCGCTCGATCTGCAGGGAGGTCAGCCATCTTTTGCTCGGCCGTCTTACCTCTGAGCCTTTTACATGTCATGCACTTGTGCAGATGTCTCGTGATGCACCTCTTGGCTCCCACAATCCAAATGCCATTTGAACGTATAGCTCCTTCTGTGAAGACGTGGCATAGGTGCTCGACTCTCTCATGGCTGCGACCAGGGATGATGAGAGGGTGCTTCTCCTCTGCTGTGAGAGTTGAGTGATGAAGCCGGCCCACAATTCTCAGGAGTCCGTTACCATCGAGGACAGGATCCAACTTCCTGAATGGGCAGTTATTCTGGATGTCCATCCCTTGCTTCAGACAAGTCATCTCAGTCTGATATGTTGTGCTCTGGGCACATCCATTGATGACTTGTTTGGCTTTCAACCGATTGTCAGGTGCATGGCCTTTCAAACATGCATGCCACCCTTTACATTCTGCGTTCTGCTTTGTAGTTTTCGCTCTGATGGTCTCGGCAATGTGGATCAGAGTGGCTGTGGCTCTGATGAGAGACTGCCATGTTGAGAACCTTTCAAATCGCTGAGAGCCCAGGTTTGTGTTGGTGCATGCCGTGAGGTGAGATCGAATTTCTGCGTCAGACTCTGGGTCTACGAGGTTGTAAGATGTTTCCACTGGAGTGTCTTTCGCAGGTAGCAACAGAAACTTGGGCCCAGTGAGGCCGGTGGTGTTTGGGAGCAGTGCTGCAGGTACAGACCTGGTTGCTATATATGCTGGGGGGTACGTAGTGCGATTGTTAAGGGCTCGAGAACTTCCTGATGCGTTCCACTCTGTTACTGGCATACACATAGAAGCTAACATTGTGAATGTTACCCAGCGTGACCTTCCTGTCAGTGTAAAAATTCTCCGGACACCCGCTCTGTGATCTCGACTGCTATGACTGCAGCTCCTAGTTCGAGCCGGATGGATTGAGATGGTGCCAGTCTGGCCTTCCCCATAATGACTCCTACGTGGCACATGCCTCTGTCATCTAACACCTTCAGGTAGGACACTGCAGCAATAGCTTTCACAGAAGCATCTGAAAAGACGTGCAGCTCCACAAGCTGAGTGTTAGAGACAGATGTTCCAGTATAGCAACAAGGAGTCTCAAAGTGTCCGAGAGCTTGTAGTGAATCTCTCCAAGCGATCCCCTAGCTATGGAACATTTACTTAATGTCCGCAGTGACAGCAATCTGTTCGTGGCGGAAACGTATCAGAACCTCAAGACATCCGTTGTTCAGGTCTGGTCCGGTCAGCAACACATCATTGAGAGACACTCCAAGATGTTTGACGTTAGAGTCGAACACAACTCTGATTTGACCTGGCTTGTGGGGGTGATTCACTCCGAATATGGGGAGGGACCAGCACTGTTCCCCCGTCTGTCAATGGTGGAGCCAGCTCTGCTGCACGAATGTGATGAAGTGTTGCTTCATCTCAGCTTTTCTTTCAAGAGTACGCTGTACTTCAGCTAACTTATTACAGTAGCTCAGCTCATGAGTCATGCGTTAGCAAGACACAGGCCTATATTGTCTTTTGTTTAATTAGCGGTAAACTGGAGGCACTGGTAGTTTAGTCTTTTGTTCATCACCACTCACCTCAACACAAGCCAAGAAAAACACTGCTGGGAGAGAAGCTGGAGGGGCTGCTGTCTGTCTGAGTGCTGCGCTCTGGTTGTGCAGAGAGATGCGGCGCGGGAGAGAGAGAGAGATTGACATTTGACACTTTATTATATCATTTTTATGTAGATTTATTTTTTTAGGGCCCGAGGACGACCGTGTGAGGTCCCTATTGAATTTGGTAAGATATATATATATATATTTATTTTTATATTTTTTTTTTCTCTGCAAAGTAAGCTCCATTTTGGGGACCTGAGCATACCCGAAAACTCACCAAAATTTGCAAACATGTCAGAACTGGTGAAAAATTTCGTATTTTATGGGTTTCGCGCATGGGCGTGGCAAAATGACTCGCTAGCGCCACCTAGAAAATTGGAAAAAATTTCCCCTCGTTCACGTTCAACCTACGTGCACGAAATTTTCTGGGGACATGTATCATATCAAGACGCACAAAAAAGCCTCAAGAACCCATAGCCTAAAGTCAACAGGAAGTCCATTTTGAATTTTACGGCCATTTTTGGATAATTTACACACTTCGTACTCCTCCTAGGGATTTAGTCGGATCGACGTCAAATTTCTGCTGTGCCTTCTAAAGGCATTGATTCGCCATGAAACAGGAAGTTGTTGTAACTTCAGTGTACATGCTCACATCTGGACCAAAGTGTACATGTAGGATGAGAGTCCCGCCCTGAACACATGAACATGCCGACATTCACCCACAGTCATAGCGCCACCTGCTGGCAACAGGAAGTGGCTTTTAACGAAGCAGCCCCGCCGCACGTTTCACCTACGTGCACGAGTTTTCTGTGGTACGTGTATCTTGTCCAGACGCACAAAAAAGCCTCTTGGAGCGATGCCCTAAAACCAACAGGAAGTCGGCCATTTTGAATTTTACGTCAAATTTTGGATGATTTACACACTTCGTACTTTAACGAACTCCTCCTAGGGGTTTAGTCCGACCGACCTCAAATTTGTGCTGTGCCTTCTAAAGGCATTGAAGATGAAAAGTTGTGCTATTTGCGAGTTTTCGACAATGGGCGTGTCCGTGGCGTGGCGTCAAAGATCAACTCTTCCCCATGACACAGGAAGTTGTCGTAACTTCAGTGTATATGCTCACATCTGGACCAAACTGTACATGTAGGATGAGAGTCCCGCCCTGAACACATGTACATGCCGACATTCACCCACAGTCATAGCGCCACCTGCTGGCAACAGGAAGTGACTTTTAACAAAGCAGCCCCCGCCACACGTTTCACCTACGTGCACGAATTCTCTGTGGTACGTGTATCTTGTCCAGACGCTCAAAAAAGTCTCTT